GTTACAATTATGAGATCTTTATGCATTAAAATCATATTCTTAAAATAGCTTCCTAGTCATTGTATTGTCAAAATATGGTGTCACGACCCAAATCTGGGGGTCCATGACCAACACGCACAAGCTTAGCAAGTAAAGCCCGCGAGACTTGAGGAAGCCTTTATGATTAAGTCTTGTCTAACATGTCTCATTCTTATAAGGCTTCATGGTTGACACAATTTCATTTAAACTTAAAACATTAATGTTTAACATTAGCCCCTTGGCTCGTAATAAAATTAAGGACTTAGACATAACATCCACATATCCATACATTAGCTAATTCATCAAGTCCTTGTACATCTCATTTGCATAGCATGAGGCACTTTGTGCTGACATATTATCTTTAAAACAAACTTGTCAACATTTTGTGGAAGTGTAAAGACTCGTCTATGACTTAATGGAGAGACTTGTCAGCATGGTAACATACCAAATTACAAAATTACGTGTCTGTCCAAGTGACAGTACTAGTCATTAATCTTTCAGATCTATTTATCTACACAATACAAGTGAAATGGGTGAGTCACACTAGTACTCAGTGAGTGGGAGCATAAAACAATTGTGAATGTGCAGGGATAGTCACTACATGTATCCTCTAAACATACATGCATATCATACATCTTATGCCAATACATAATAGGTCAAGTCAAACGTCACTCGCTAATCATAGTTTATCGTAATCATAGCAGTTATGCTTTGTAACATACTTTTGTCCATTAACACTTAAAGGTGGTATATCATCCTCACCTCAACCATTCAATATCATTATTAACATATCATTTATCATGTTAATCTAATGTATGAACCGGCACACCATATGGTCGTCTACATACGTGGGTAGGTATACTTACCTTGTAGCACTCACCTCAACAATAATCATATGCTTCCGCAAGTTTTGCAACATATCATAATCACATATAATTTATATCTAATATCATATCATTATTCATCATAGTATCATCATACATATTCAATCAATTGTCATCATGCCTGGCATTATCATCACTTTTATCACAATTATAATACATTATTTCTATCACCATGACATTGTTTGGAATCATACACGGATTGGTTGCATTCATCATTCATGATCTCAATCAATCATACTTGTCATTGTGATGGGTCATCATCTTATTGGCCTAGGTACTATCCTTCTAGGAAATTTACATAATTCTCTTAATTATATCAACATTATCATGCTTAGCATAAATACAATTCATCCAGCCAAAATTCATCATTCATAATATTACTAATCTAGGTATGTCACCTCTGGATGTACATATAAGGCATACATCACTTATATCATGCATATTCACTCTAGAAGCATACATGCACCCTAGTCATTATGCTCCTATACATAAAATTTCCCATTCACCTTGACACTTCAGTGTCTCTTTGCTAGCACTTGTTTAGCTTGGCTTATCATTCTTAGCCTCAATTTGTATAACTCAATATTAAAGTAGCATTCATACTCCCATTGTACGTGTAGCAATCAACAATGCATAAATATCAACATTTATACCATAGCTCTTCATTTCATAGTCAATTCCTAACTTTCAAATTGTTTCTAACTTTTCAATATAACACATTTTTTAACCAATTGATCATACTAGGTAAACTTTCTCTTATTCATCAAAAAGGTATGAAATCTCTTACCTTAAACATCACTTTGGCTCATTGAAACTTCATATCTCTAGCCACATTCAACACCTTTAGCCATTAGGCTGAAATATCACATTTCTACATTATTAATCATTTAAATCGACAGCTAATCGGAGAAAAGCTTTAATCTTACCTTTTGATTAGTTTTCTAGCCTCAAATGCCTTCTTCAAGCTTCAAATCACCAAAGAGGTAGAGGTTTTGAGAAAGAGTGAGGGAGCTCTTGTTTTTCCTTTTTGCCTTAAATGGGCAGATAACCCAAGGCTTTATATTTTTTTGCAAATTTGCATGCATGTAACGATACATTTCCATGACTTAACTTTAAATCTACTGATACATGAAGCAATGTATCGATACTTTTCCCATGGACTACTCTCTATCCAAAATCTATCTATACATTTAGACAATGTATCGATACTTTTTCCATGGGTTGCTGTCTACTTCAAATCTATCGATACATTTAAACAATGTTTTGATACTTGTTCATAATGCCCTTCTTGTGTGCTTGCTGCCTTGAATGTATCGATACATGGTGCCCATGTCTCAATAATTTTCATCTAAAATGTGTTTTCTTCAACACTTAAAGCTTTTAACTCCATTCTATAACTCCTATTTCATTTCTAACTAACATTTCCATCTCATTTCTTCTTAGTCTCTTAATATCGGTCACATAAACTCATCATATACTCCAATTACCCATCCATGCTCTATGTCACTGTAACATCTCGTACCCTCATTTAGAGGTTGATAAGACTTTATTAATGAGAAGAATAGTCATTTGACATAAATCTAAGTGTTAGAGAACAGTAACGAGTAAAAAGAATATTTTTGAATAAAATAATATTTTATGAATAAAATAATATTAAAATATTAATGTTTTATTTATCAATGAGATTAGTTAAAATAGAGGGTTATATGACTAATCTAAGTAGGGGAGGAGAAGAAAAGAGAAAATTTAGAAGAAAATAATGAGGTTAGAGGGAACCCGCGTGCTTTTATGAAATAGAGCACAATCGGGTAAGTATATATTTAAATATTATAGTGACACACTAATAAGGTGTAAACTTTATATTATATTTATACACATGTCAAAGAAAGAAATAGAAGAAAAATTGGAATTTAAGAAGTGATGGGAGGACTAAATAAAAAGAATGAAAACTTAAGAGGGCTAAATGGTAATTTTACTATTTAACTTGGTTAAAGCCTACAAAGGCAACTTTGACTTTTCTTTCTCTTATTCTTTTCCATGTGGCCGGTCACCTATGTAAG